ATATATATATATATATATATATATATTTCTAGGAATAGTTGGAGGCTAGTATACGAGCCCCGAACATTCCACATGCACCTGAGAATTTGAGTACTACACCCTACGCTCGGGGGGAATCGAACCCCAGGCCAGAGGGGACTAACAACAGACAAGCAGATGCCCGACCAACTGGTTCTGAGTACGCGCGCATATGTCTATATATATATATATATATATAAACCTCGAATGAAGTGTGGTTTGGTAATACAAAAGAAAAGGAGGTGAATATATTACTTGGTTGGCACTCTAAAACAAAGCTCGACCCAACGCATAGGCCAACCAGACATAAACCAGTTGATGGAAATGGACGCAAATTACAATCTCTTTTCTGAATATGATCATGAATGACATCAAATCATCACCTAATCTCTTAAGTCACCTCTATATATCACATACCCCATTGTCCCTCCTCTCTCCATTCTACCAAAGTCAGAGAAAACCCTAACTACAAGTACTGAAGAAGAGAGAGATGGCTTCCATGGTCGTCTCCTCGCCAACCTCCATTATTCTTACCCTCATGTGCTCAATGCTCGCACTGCCTTTGATTTCCAGCTCGAGCTTGACGAGACATTACAAGTTTGACGTAAGAATATTTCAGATATATATATATATATATATATATATATAATATATATCTGTTTGATGTACATATATTGTGAGTGAGAATTTTTAATATTTCAGATAAAATTGAAGAATGTGACTCGTCTTTGTCATACGAGGAGCTTGATCACCGTTAATGGCCAATTCCCGGGGCCTAAGATTGTGGCTAGAGAAGGAGATCGAGTGGAAGTGAAGGTGGTTAATCATGTCTCTAATAATGTCACCATCCACTGGTATACATTGCTTCCTTTATTCTTAATTTAGTGCTATAAAAGTTGTTAGAGAGTTAAGTTATTTGAGTTTCATATTATGATTACATTTATTACCTTGTCCTGAAACTATTATATCAAGAGTCTTTGATGCATTTGAACTTTATGTACAATATTATTGTACACCATTGTATGCACAAATATTATACAATAATATATAACAATGCATCCAGACTACACGCAATATTCTCTCCAGTTTTTACACTTATCTATATCTAACTTGTATTAAGATGTAAAGTTTAATATGTATATATATATATATATAGAAAAAGTAGTATTTAATTTTTGAAAATGCAAGACCAAATTGATCTCATATCTGCAATATTTTAAATGATCAAGCACAAAAATGCAAGTAATATATCTACCTTGAAGAAGAAAAGCTGAATTTCACATTGAAAAAATCTTCAATAATTTTTTTTTATGATGTAATAATAAAGATTTGAATATTAAATTTGTAAATACTAAAATTCAGATATTAGATATGTAATTATATAAGAATTGTGGTGCATGCAAATCCCCTTTAAGAAAAATATGACTCAGAAGTAAAATTCAATCACTCATTTTAATATGTGGCTATAACTTTAAATTATAAAAAATAAAATTTGTAATATTTTGGGTTGGTGGCTATTGACTTTTGGCGAGAGCAGGCATGGGGTCCGGCAGATTCAAACTGGCTGGGCTGATGGGCCGGCATATATTACTCAATGCCCCATTCAAACGGGCCAAAGCTACGTGTACAACTTCACAATAGTGGGCCAACGTGGAACTCTATTCTGGCACGCCCATATCTCATGGCTTAGAGTCACTATTTACGGACCTCTCATTATTCTCCCCAAGCTTGGAGTCCCCTATCCTTTCGCAAAACCCTACAAGGAAGTGCCCATAATCTTCGGTAACATTGATTAATTTTATTTTTGTCTTTTGTTCCTTTATAAAGTATAAGAAAATTTAATTGTTGTAGAAATTTTCAGGGGAATGGTTCAATGCGGACCCTGAGGCTGTCATAGCCCAGGCCCTACAGTCTGGTGGAGGCCCAAATGTTTCTGATGCGTACACCATCAATGGCTTCCCTGGCCCACTTTACAACTGCTCAGCAAATGGTTGGGTTTAATTACTTAAAACATGCTCAATTAAATCTAGTTTATTTTCAACTGTCACTTATACGAAGAATTAACCAAATGTAATGCCAAAATTGCAGACACCTTCAATCTGAAAGTAAAAGCCGGCAAAACCTACCTTCTCCGACTCATCAACGCTGCACTCAACGACGAGCTCTTCTTCAGCATCGCCAATCACTCCCTCACCATCGTCGAAGTCGACGCCGTCTATATCAAACCATTCAGCACCCAAACCCTCCTCCTCACTCCCGGCCAGACCACCAACGTCCTTCTCCACGCCCACCCTCCCTCTCCCTCCCCATCCCCATCCGCCCTCTTCCTCATCGCCGCTCGCCCTTACGCAACCGGACAAGGCACCTTCGACAACACCACCACCTCCGCCATCCTCCATTACCACGACCTCTCATCGCCACCAACCAACCATACCTCCCCTCTGTTACTCAAACCCATCCTTCCTTCCCTCAACGACACCGCATTCGCAGCCAATTTCACCTCCCGCCTCCGCAGCCTCGCTTCTCCTCAATTCCCGGCTATAATCCCTCGTTCCGTCGATAAAAATTTCTTTTTTACAGTCGGTCTCGGCACCAACCCCTGTCCCAAGAACCAAACCTGTCAGGGTCCCAACGGCACCAAATTCGCAGCTTCCGTCAACAATGTATCCTTCCTGCTCCCGGCTTCCAATGCTTTGCTCCAAGCTCACTTTTTTGGGCAGTCGAAGGGGGTTTACACGACAGATTTTCCGGCGAATCCTCTGTTTCCGTTTAACTACACGGGGACGGCGCCGAACAATACGTTGGTGAGCAATGGGACAAAGGTGGTGGTTTTGCCATTCAATGCGAGCGTGGAGTTGGTTTTGCAGGATACGAGTATATTGGGGATTGAGAGCCATCCCTTGCATTTGCATGGATTCAATTTCTTTGTTGTGGGATCTGGATTTGGGAATTATAATCCGGCCAAAGATCCGGCCAAGTTTAATCTGATTGATCCCGTTGAGAGGAATACTATTGGGGTGCCTGCGGGAGGATGGGTTGCTATCAGATTCTTTGCAGATAATCCGGGTAACTAGTCGCATAATTAATTAACATATATATGTAAATTTATTAGTTTTAGTTTGATTTATTCCTTTTAATTTATATATGTAAATTATATATAAATTACATAGTTTTTAAACAAGTTTATAGATTAATTTTAGAATTCATCGTATTCATGGGTGCCACCTAACTCTCCTATGTTTTCATATACGGAACACCCAAGTTTTACTTTTTTTACATTTATGCCATGCAAAGTCTTTTTTATTACATAAAAGTAATATTATTTTAATCTTTAAAAATAAAATACATCTCTTCATACATAGATATGGTGTCCTCTATGTAAAAATTAAAATTTAGGTGGTATGTCTGTAAATCTTCGAGCAACACATTTACAATTATACCACACTGCTATTTTGTATTTAATTTTTAACTTTTGTTTTCAATTAGCATTAGAAGTGCATACATGAAGGGCAATATATGTGACAGGTGTATGGTTCATGCACTGCCACCTAGAGGTGCACACGAGCTGGGGGTTGAGGATGGCGTGGGTTGTTCAGGATGGTCCATTGCCCAGCCAGAAGCTTCTTCCTCCACCGTCAGATCTTCCCAAATGCTGATCATTGACTTTTTTCTAGACCATTAATTCCAAGTGCAGGCTTCTCCGTTGACAGTTGATTTTTGTTTTTCTTAAATTTTTTTTGCGTATTAAATAATCTCTTATGTTTTGACCCTTGGAAGTGTGCTCAAGTGTGTACTGAACTGTAATTTATATATTTGGAAGCTAGCAGGAGAGAAGATATACTGTTTCCCATAATCCTTGAGAAGGTGTTGTTTGTAATTTTCTGTTTTGTTTTGTTTGCTTTTGCAATTCTTGTCCTTGAAGGTGAAAGAAATGTCGGCCAAGAACTTTTCACGTGTCACCTCTACTTTCTATTGTAAAGTGTAATTTGTTCGTAGATTCACGCCATCATATAAAAGCTTTAAGAGGAATTTAAGTGTACAGAAAATAGAGGTAAGAAAAAAAAATAAATAAAGAAAATAAGTGGAGGTCAAATATGTAAAAAGAAATTTACATTCATCAACACGTATAGTCTCTAGCTATCTTGCAGTAAGTTAATGAGCTCAATTAACAATTGGATTTGAAATTGAGCTTCCACTTAATGGTTGGAAAAGACCTATCAATAGGCATTGATAGTTTTAGCTTTTAGACAAGGAAGACTTTGTATCACATGGGTGCCTCAACTAATAATCATAGTCAATTTGTTTTCACTTATTACATGATTCCCCACTAATCATAGAGCTTGATATAAAATAATAGGTTGTAGGAGATCCATAGAGTTAGATTGAGCATCTAATCTAATCATGATCATTAATAATTAAATGTTAATTAAAAAAAAAATTTAGTATCAATTTAAACTTTATTAAATTTAGTAGAAAGGAATATATTTTATTAGTATAGGCTTTAAAAGTAGCTGTTAAAAGTGTTGGATTTAATTTTTGCCAATGTAATAATTGATTATAACATTGAGGATTTGATTATGGGTTGGCCAAACAAAAATTTCTTAAATTCAACTTTAATCATTATAGCAATATTTCAACCTTCGGGAAGGCATGGCCGATTAGTTTCCTCTTTTGAAATGAAATTCTTAAGTTTGCCAAAAAGAATAAAAAATCAATGCATATAATGACATTAATACATCATCCATAAATTATAATATGTATGAGCCTCGTTTGACATAATTTATTGCAATTAGATTAATTTGTTTTTTATAAATTTCTAATAAGTTGTATTAAAGGTTGTATTAATTTATTAGGTTTTTGAAATGAAGATGCATCATGAAATCTTTAAAGAAAAAAATTGGATATATATTTTAAATAGAGTGATTAATTATCACCTTTATTAAGTGGTAAGTATTAAAAAATCATTTTTAGTCCTATTTTGAGAATTTTAAAATTATTTTAAAGAAAGATATCTTATGACATGACTAAAAGTTTTATATTGAACAAATGGTTTGTCGTTGGAGAGACAATGCAAATAAATAAAATTAAATATAGGCCTAATAATAATAATATAATTTTTAAAAAATTAAGAAGAATGATTAAATTCTAAATTTGAAACTCTTTCTAAAAAATGTGATTACATCAAAAAATTTGAAGTTATAGTGGGAGACATAGTTTAAATCTTTCAAAATTGCATATATATGTTAGCTCATCTAAGATGAGCTAACATCTTTATAAAATCTTAAAGATGAGAGATATATAGTTTAAATCATTAAAGATGAGATATATTTCTTTATTATTTGGGAGTGTTGCTTAGCCATGCATCATCTCAAATACATTAGAAGTTTTTTTCTTTCTGAGGCAAATCTGTGCCACTCACAACTTCACATCATGTTAATAAAAAAATTACAAAATAGTTAACACAAGTGCAATGACAAGAAATAAGGATCATTGGATTTATAAGCTTTGATATATAAAGAGTAAACAAAAAAAAAAAGAAATAAAGTAAAAAAAAAAAAAAAAAGCTCAAAATGGACCAAATGTGAGCTCCTTGTAGAATTATATGAATCAATAAGAGCTTGTATGGCTATGTAGTATTATGTCTATCCTTGGACCTAAATGATGGCCGTAGAAAAGAGGGAGTTTAATAATTGTGAGAAGACAACAATATACTTGAGCTAAAAGGAAGCTCAATAATAGTGAAAAGACTAACATTTTTAGCTAAATCAGCACCTTTAAGAGATATCAATATGGTTTAATATTAGTTCAGAAGTAAAGGTGGAAGCTTAATTCACATTAATAGATCCCATAACTATAGTAATAGATTTAGGATAGTTGTTTAATTTTTCTCTTTTTTGGGTTATTCTCGTCGCTCCTTTAAAATTTTATAGAAACATTTTATGGCTTCACTAATTATTATAGCAGCCAAACAATAAATACGCCAACTCAGCTGTGTACAATACGAAACAAAATTTAGCAAAGCATTTGAGCTAAGAGAAGCAGTTCATTTCAAATTCAACCAAATAATCCAGAAATTGAGTTCCTAAAAGAGGCCAAGGTAAAGTAGTACATATTGCTCAGCCAAAAGCCTAAAACTATTGGAGCAATCACTTGACTCAAAATTTGATGTATAAAATCACAGTTAAATCAGCCATATCAAACAGTCTAAAGGAAGAGAATAGTAAACTTCAAAATTTGATAAGCAATATTAAAGCCAACATGTACAAACCAAATTGAGAAAGGTGATTTTAGAAAATATAACATAGTTATTACATCCATCATGTACCAACCAAATTGATTAAGAGATTGTCTTTACATTTTAGACGCAAGCTATTACAACATATTTTGTTAGAACCTCCTTTAAAATAGATCAAATTGCTCCAATTAATTTTAGTGTGGCTTTTATAGACATAATTGTAAAAAAAAAAAAGATTAGAAAAACATTTTTCCCTCTCCATAACTAATGGCAATGAGAATCTGTTGTGTTGTTGCCTTCACTGACTTCAGCACAGTCCTCTAAAATGCAGCTAGTAAAAGGAAGAGCCCTTAAATATCATTTATAATTAAAGTAGATGCTTTAGTGGCCGCGAAACCAATTAAACTTAGGGTTCGTTTGGGGCAGCTTGTGAGTTTCAGGATAAGCTGCTTATCCTGAAACGTGGCCCGTAGGCCGGCCGCAGGGGTCGACCCGCGACCCGCGTTTAGTGTAAAAACCCAAACGCAGTTTCGGATGAGTTGGTGAAACGCGCGAACCAAACGGGAACCAAACAGTACGGCGGCGTTTTGAAACGCTGACCGCACTTATAAGCTGCCCCAAATGGACTCTTAATTGACACATATAGACCATTGACATCCAGATTCGGAAGTGATATTACAAGTAATATATATAACATGAATTTTGTTTGTGTGCCAATCAAATTTTCCAATCTTTCCTTAGCAAATCCCACTTATTTTTTAACTGTATGCTATCATACCATCTGCATCTACTTTTCATTACATCTAACATCTCTACCATGAGATAAATCTCATGAAAAATTGAATAATAATAATAAAAGATGCCGGGGGGCTTCAGTCACCATCTTATCATAAACCCTAAGCCTGCAGAATCAGGAGGAATGAAGAAGAAGATTGAGCTCCATTAATGGCTCCTGCTGTTGAAGATAAAGCTCGGACATATGGTCGCAAGTCGTAACCATTCCCATTCACAAAAAACAAGCATCCAGTATTATGACACGTAGTAAAAGCAATAATAATAATAAACAATATGTAACATGCATGCACAAACAAGTCCAGTTGTTCCGTCGACCTTACAAGCAAAGATATAATTTGCAAGTTGAGGATAATGTCAGTATATGTATTTAAACTTTGGTTCTGACTTCTGATTAAGTGTTTTATACGTGCATTTATGATTAAATTAGCTTAAATATCTAAAAAATTAAGCTAATATGAAATTGATAAACCGATGCATCACAAGATTGACATTTTGAAGTGTTTTGAACCATGAAATTGATATATTTGTCTGTGTCATGATCATATTATTATAAAAATGTGAGTTGGGTTTTTATTGTAAATTTGGATAATAGAGAGTGGTTGATTTGTAAATAGGAAGTTTAGGGTGATTGCTCCTTTTGTTAAATTACACTAAAACAAAAGATTTCATTTTTCTAGTATTTTCTTAGAAATTAAATTAAATCTGACTCTCAACTATCGTCTCAACTGCTGCCGACAGGTGAAATAAATTTAAGCCAAAAAAAGAAAAATAAAAAAACAGAGAGAGATTATTTTATTTTTGTTATTTTTTCAGAATCAGATATTCGAATAATAAATATATTTTACGAACAAGTGCCGACATGATTCGGAGCGGTTCATTCGGTATGGCTCCCTCCACCGTGTGTTGACCGTTGACCTCTCCTCTTAAGGCGAGTGGGCCCCATTTTTTTTTTTATTTCGCCGCATATCTAGATCAGAGGGCAATTCCGGGAAGATAATGTATTAAATTTGGCCATAATAAATTTATAACAAGTGGAATTTATTTTCGTGATTAATATTTAAAATATGAGAAGTAAAATTATCATCTTGAAATAAACTTAGAGGAAATTAAAACTATCGAAATCACATTTTAATGTAAATACTACACATTTTAGTTACATATCATTACAAATAGTATTATTGAATATTTATTTCGTATGAAGTATAGTTTCAGACAGTTTCTTTTGGTGAACATTGAGTGTCTTAATGATGTCGGAATCGCGCGATCTTGAGCTCATTGGATTCATCTATCTGCGACGCTTGATTCAACTATAAGCTTATCATAATTGAATTACGTTTGACCTTCCAAATACGAAATATGTACCAAAAGCTTAAGAAAGTGGTTTGACAGCTTGATTTCTCATGGATTTGTCCAACTTTTGTATTATTGGTATGTCTATTCAAGTCGGTTAATTTAACTGCAAGTTTTTTGAAATCAAACCTTAGGATCATTTTTAACCAAAATCTGATGCTAAAAAAATATTCTCGAGATTATATCACATGATTCATGTCGTATGATAAATTTGTTGATGATGAAGAGAATAACCACAATTGAATTACAAATGAAAGACGCTCATATGTTTGTATAATAAGCTATTTTCACGAATATCTCATTTGATCTATCAATTTCGAACGAAAGATGCCCATATATATGTAACTCTAGTTTAATCAATTTCGTTCTTTTGTTGTTAATTCTCACTTAATATTGCTATTATTATTTATTTTACAAAAGAAATTTGTTGCTTAGTGCTTGTAGAGCAAACATTTTAATTTAATAGGTTGGATGAAATATTAAAAATAATTAAACATAGAAAATAAATAAATAAATTATAATGTACCAATATTTTTATTTAAAACCATTTTTAGTTAGCGTTGTCATGTGGATGAATAGGTTGTATTTGGGTCTAAGCTAAACTTGACTCAATGTTA